GAGGCGGGAGCTGCGGCTGCTCGAGTCCATCTTCCACCGGGGCCACGAGCGGTTCCGCATCGGCAGCGCCTGCCCGGACGAGATCAGCTGCGAGTTCGTGCCGGGCGCGGCCGGGGCGCGCGCGGGCGGATCGGCCTCGCGCCCGCCGCCGCCGGGGCCCGTCCGCATCCACTGCAACATCACGGTGAGGCCCGGGGGGGCGGCCCCGGGACCCCGGGATCCCGGGACACTGGTATCCCGGTATCCCAGGACCCCGCTATCCCAGGGTCCCGGTATCCTGGTACCCTGGTATCCCGGTATGCTGGTACCCTGGTGCTCGGGACCCCGGTATCCCGGGACCTCGGTATCCTGCTATCCTGCTATCCCGGGACCCCGGTATCCCAGGGTCCCGGTATCCTGGTACCCTGGTATCCCGCTATCCCGGGACCCCGCTATCCTGCTATCCTGCTATCCCGGGACCCTGGTATCCCAGGGTCCCGGTATCCTGGTACCCTGGTATCCCGGTATCCTGGTACCCTGGTGCTCGGGACTCTGGTACCCCGGTATCCTGGGACCCCGGTATCGCGGTGCTCAGGACCCCAGTATCCTGGTACCCTGGTATCCTGGTACCCCGGGACCCTGGTGCTCGGGATCCCGGTATCCAGGGACCCCGGTATCCCAGTGCTCGGGACCCCAGTATCCTGGTACCCTGGTATCCCGGTACCCCGGTGCTCGGGACCCCGATATCCTGGTACCCTGGTATCCTGGTATCCCGGTGCTCGGGACCCTGGGACCCCGGTATCCTGGGACCCCGGTATCCCGGTACCCCGGTGCTCGGGACCCCGGTATCCCAGGCGCTCCCAGCGGCTCCACCGTCTCCTTCCCCGCAGGAGTCTTACCCGGCCGTCCCGCCCATCTGGTCTGTGGAGTCGGACGATCCCAACCTGGCAGCTATCCTGGAGCGGCTGGCGGAGGTCAAGAGAGGCAACACGCTGGTGAGGGAACCCGCCGGTGCTCCCCGCGCCTCCCGGCGCGGAGCGGCCCCCGCTGCCGCGGCGTTCCCGGCCTCCGCGGAATTCCCGGCTCCCCCGTGAGCCTCGCGTGCCTCCCGGCAGCTCCTGCAGCACCTCAAGCGGATCATCTCGGACCTGTGCAAGCTCTACAACCTCCCGCAGCACCCGGACGTGGAGATGCTGGACCAGCCCCTGCCGGCGGAGCAGGTGAGCGCCCAGGGCCCGGTCGCCGCCGCGGCGCGGAGGAGCCCCGCTGTTTTACCGGGGGGCTGGGGCCCCCCGCCAGCCCCACACGTGGGCAGGCGCCTACCGAGCAGCTCGGCCCTCCGGGTGCCCTCGTGTGGGGCTGCGGGACGGTACCGGACCCRGCCCGGTTTTGCCCCTCGCTGCTCCCGTTTCCCTTATCCTGCCTCCATCCTTCTGGCTTCACTTGTCCTGCTGCTGTACGTGCCTGGGAAAGGCTCCGTTTTCCCTCTTCCCCTTGGTTCCGCCCCTAAATCCCCGTTCATCCCCCTTTCCCGCGGAGGCAGCGGGGCGCGCGGCGCTGCTCCCGGCCCCGCTGCTGCGGCGACAGCCGCGCGGTGTCGGTGGGCTGCTCCAGAGCGCTGCCCTGCGGAGCGAGCGGCGCCAACTGCTTCTGTCCCCGCAGAGCACCCAGGAGGACGTGTCCTCGGACGAGGAAGACGAGGAGATGCCCGAGGTAAGCGCCTCGTGCCGCGCACGGGTGTGCTGCGCCACAGAGCGGGGCTCTCGCTGCGAGGTGCCCCTTAAAACGTGCTCTGGAAGCAACTTTTGGAGCGCGATGTGGAGGTCGTTTGGGTCAAAAGTTTGGGTGTTTCCAACGCTTTTCCTGCTGGGATGGCAGGTGGGAGAGGTTAGCCAACCTCCGAGGGCTGCGGCAGCCTCGAGGGGAGCCCCACTTTGCGCCGCCCTTCCCCGCCGTGCGAACCCCCTCGTGAGCAATCCCGTTTCGGGGGCGCTTCCACAAGGAAACCCCTCCGCCCCGGGAACGTGGGCGCCCTGCCCGCGGGGTTAGGTGGCACAGCGGTGGGCTGGGAAGCGCCGGCGCCGCCGGCTYGGCCCGTGCTTGGGAGACGGCTCCGAGCGGGTGGGATCCCCCGGGGCTCCGTGGAGAGGCCGGGCCCRTCGCCTCCCGGGAAGCGCCGCCGTTTCCTCCCGCTTCGTGGCCCGGCTAAGGCCGGGCTTTGCGGGGGGCCTCGGAGAGGATCGGGAGCCTTCGACTGATCCTGCTCCGAAAGGGCTCGTGCCACTAGCTCCCCTTTCTCTCCCCAGGACAGCGAGGACCTGGATCACTACGAGATGAAAGAGGAGGAGCCAGCAGATGGGAAAAAGACAGAGGAT